GGCCCAGTTTTTGCTCCAAAGAGTCAAATCGCAAGCCCTGGTCCCTAAGATTTTGGACTCAGTTTTTTGCTCCAAAGCAAACCCTGGTCCTTAAGATTTTGGGCTCATTTCTTGCTCCGAAGAGTCAAATCGCAAGCCCTGGTCCCGAAGATTTCGGGTTCAATTTTTGCTCCACAGAGTCAAACCGCAAGCCCTGGTCCCTAAGATTTGGGGCACAGTTTTTGCTCCAAAGGGTCAAATCGCAAGCCCTGCTCCCTAAGATTTTGGGTTCATTTCTTGCTCCAAAGAGTGACATCGCAAGCCCTGGTCCCTAAGATCTTGGGCCCAGTTTTTGCTCCAAAGAGTCAAATCGCAAGCCCTGGTCCCTAAGATTTTGGGTTCAGTTTTTGCTCCAAAGAGTCAAATCGCAGGCCCTGGTCCCTAAGATTTTGCATTCATTGTTGCTCCAAAGAGTGACATCGCAAGCCCTGGTCCCTAAGATTGGGGGCCCAGTTTTTGCTCCAAAGAGTGACATCGCAAGTCCTGGTCCCTAAGATTTTGGGTTCAATTTTTGCTCCAAAGAGTGACATCGCAAGCCCTGGTCCCTAAGATTTTGGGCCCAGTTTTTGGTTCAAAGAGTCAAATCGCAAGCCCTGGTCCCTAAGATTTTGGGTTCATTTTTTGCTCCAAAGAGTCAAACCGCAAGCCCTGGTCCCTAAGATTTGGGGCCCAGTTTTTGCTCCAAAGAGTCAAATCGCAAACCCTGCTCCCTAAGATTTTGGGCCCAGTTTTTGCTCCAAACAGTCAAATCGCAAGCCCTGGTCCCTAAGACTTTGGGTTCAATTTTGCTCCAAAGAGTGACATCGCAAGCCCTGGTCCCTAAGATTTGGGGCCCAGTTTTTGCGCCAAAGAGTAAAATCGCAAGCCCTGGTCCCTAAGATTTTTGGGTCGATTTTTGCTCCAAAGAGTGACATCGCAAGCCCCGGGGTCGATTTGTGCTCCACAGAGTCAAATCGCAAGCCCTGGTCCCTAAGATTTCGGGGTCGATTTGTGCTCCACGGAGTCAAATTGCAGCCCTGGTCCCTAAGATTTTGGGCCCAGTATTTGCTCCAAAAGGTGAAATCGCAAGCCCCGGTCTTTAAGATTTTGGGCTCATTTCTTGCTCCAAAGAGTAACATCGCAAGCCCTGGTCCATAAGATTTTGGAATCGATTTTTGCTCCAAAGAGTCAGATCGCAAGCCCTGGTCCTAAAATGTTGGGCTCAATTTTTGCTTTTCCCTTCTCTTCTGCTTCCTTTTAACTGATAAAACACAAGAAAGGAACTCATATGATAAAGCAGTGGAAAGGTAAGCAGAGGGTGACTCCTTGCGCGTGAGCCTTTCCATAATACTCCATCATATTCATCCTCTCGGCCTATCTCTTCTGTTCCTTTCCTTACTCTTCTCCTTCTCATAGTTCTTCCTTTTTGTTTTTCTCATTTCGAAAAGAAAGAGGGAAGGGAGAAACAAGGGAGAGAGAATAGATAAAGAAGAGTGCCATCTTCTCTGCGCCTTGTTTTGTCTCTCCCTCTTCTCTATTCATCTGTCTTCTATTCTCTTCCTTGCTCTTCCCATTAAATATGCAATCCTTGGTATCTCTCCTCTCTCCTTCTCTCTTCCTCCAACAGATGTGCTTTTGGATCGTTTTCTGCATCTTCAAGCGAGAAAAAAGGACACAGACTGCGATTAAAAGGGACGCCCATGTTGGATTGGCAGCAAGCCCAGCTGATGCTCATGATTCTCTCTCTTTCCCTACACATGGGCGATGGAACGGGTGTCCTTTTCAATCGTTTTCTGCATCTTCAAGAGAAACAGGGACACCCCACAAGAAGGAAAAGCAACATAAGAGATAGGGAGGGAAATTGACCCTTTCCTCTCTTCTTATCTGCTATTTTTCTTATTCGCTTCAAAAAGCAACATAAGGGAAAGGGGATTTCCTGAAGAGGAGAGAGGGAACCTATCTGTGAAAAGCAAGAATGGTTTTTTCTAGTTCGAAAGGGAATAGGGAGAGACAAGGGAGAGATGATATGTACAGCTTTGCGCCTTATTTTGTGATTCCGTCTCCTTGCTTCCTGTCTCTTCTATTCCTTGCAGCACGCTTCGGGAAACATAGCATCCTTGTTATCTTTCCTCTCTCACTTCCCTTTCCCTTCTCTTCTTCCGCTTCCTTTTAACTGATAAAACACAAGAAAGGAACTCATATGATAAAGCAGTGAAAAGGTAAGCAGAGGGTGACTCCTTGCGCGTGAGCCTTTCCATAATACTCCATCATATTCATCCTCTCGGCCTATCTCTTCTGTTCCTTTCCTTACTCTTCTCCTTCTCATAGTTCTTCCTTTTTGTTTTTCTCATTTCGAAAAGAAAGAGGGAAGGGAGAAACAAGGGAGAGAGAATAGATAAAGAAGAGCGCCATCTTCTTGGTATCTCTCCTCTCTCCTTCTCTCTTCCTCCAACAGATGTGCTTTTGGATCGTTTTCTGCATCTTCAAGCGAGAAAAAAGGACACAGAATGCGATTAAAAGGGACGCCCATGTTGGATTGGCAGCAAGCCCAGCTGATGCTCATGATTCTCTCTCTTTTTCCCTACATATGGGCGATGGAACGGGTGTCCTTTTCAATCGTTTTCTGCATCTTCAAGAGAAAAAGGGACACCCCACAAGAAGGAAAAGTAACATAAGAGATAGGGAGGGAAATTGAAGAACTCCTCATTGTACTTGGTCATTCCCTTTCCTCTCTTCTTATCTGCCCATTTTCTGTGCGCCTTGTTTTGTCTCCCCCTCTTCTCCCATCATCTCTCTTCTGGTCTTTTCTTTGCTCTTCCCATTAAAAATGCAACCCTTTTTATGTCTCCTCTCTCCTTCTCTCTCCCTCCTCTTCTCCTGTTCCCTTCTAAACGACAAAAACGCAAGAAAGGAAGAATAAGAGGGGAATGGAGGCCCTGTTCCTTTTCCTCTTTCAATGGATGGGGGAAGTGGGCGGAGTTGGCCCCTTGCCCGTACACCCTCCCCATGCTTCAGCAAACCCCTCCTCTCGCCCTATCGCCTCTGTTTTTTTTCCTTGTGCCCAAACGGAAAACGAAAACGGGTTCCTTTATATGTTCATTGTCCTTCCTTTTGTTTTTTTATTTCACAGGGAAAAGAACCAGAGAAGAGGAAGATAAGAACGAGAGGTGAGATGAAAACGGCACCATCTTCTCTTTGCCTTATTTTTGCACCTCCCTCTCCTGTCTTAATTTCTCTTCCACTCTTTTTTTCCATTGCTCTTCCCATAATATTGCATTCCTTTTGATAACTCACAGGAAATTAAAATGGCCTCCTTGTTGTCTCTCCTCTCTCACTTCCCTTTCCCTTCTCTCCTTCTGTTTCCTTTTAATTTTAACTGATAAAACACAAGAAAGGAGCTTGTAAAATCAAGCAGTGGAAGGGTAAGCAGAAGGTGACTCCTTGTGCGTGGACCTTTGCCGTACTTCACCATACCCCTCTTTTCGGCCTATCTCTTCGGCTCTTTTCCTAACCCTTCTTCTTTTCATCTTTCTTTTTGTTTTTCTCATTTCGAAAAGACAGAGGGAACGGAGAGATAAGGGAGAGAGGATAGATAAAGAAGAGTACCATCTTCTTTGCGCCTTGTTTTATCTCTCTTCTATTCTTTTCTTGGCTCTTCCCATGAAAATCGTGTTCCTCTTATCTTTCCCTCCTTCTCTCCCTTCTCTTCTCCTCACGAGAGCCTTCGACTTTAGGATTGAGGAGAAAAAGAGAAGAGAAAAGAGGAACTACCTGGTTCTTGTTCCTGAGGCCTCCATAGTACGACTGACGTGACAGCAGCGTACCCTCGTGGAAACGTGTATGGCTATAAGAAAACCCGAGTCCCAGCTTCCAAATAGACCCTATTTAAGCCACCCACGGGGGGGGGGGCGGGCTGTCAGATTTCGAGCCCAGCGCTTACATGCACAAGTGCCTCTGCCAACCTGAAGTTTGCATAAGCGTCTGCCAGCGCCTTTAAGCGGCTGTATGGACAAGAGCCTATCATTACCTTTTGTGGGGATTTTGCCTCTTTAATTTAAGCGACTTTACGCGCAAGCCTGGAAACGCAAAGGCTCAAAGAGGCGTATAAAGAGGCTTGAAGCCCTTCCAACGCAAAGAGACTTAGAGGCTGAGGCGTGAAGCCAGTCCGCAAAAGGGTGGATGCTTCTCCGGAATAGGGGCTTAGAGGCTTAACTCAAAGAGGCTGGACAAACATAGACGCTTCCACGGGAAAGAGGCTTAGAGGCTCAGAGGCTTGACGCGAAACTGCAGCCCACTTCCGTGCCTGCTCTGAATTTTTGATTCGTTGCAATCAGTTGATTGGTCTATGGCTAAAGGATGCTTGTTTTGCTTCTGTGTTTTGCTTCCTGCTCACGTTTGCATAACATGTGCTGCCCGGATGAGCTTTGTGTAAGCAGGGGCACACGCACCCCCATGCTACTGCAGCCAGTCCTTTGTCACAACCAGACGCGACTCTCGAAAGCCAAGACCTATACTGCAAGGTTGCCAAGCCTGAGTGTGGACTTTGGATTGGACGCCTTCATGTTTGGGAAAGTCTTTGTTGCAGTAGCGTCTTTCCATTGTTGTGATGTTGTGGCAGTGGCCAAGCTGTGTGCCATCGGTGCCGGACTGAGGGTTAGGGGGTGATGTTTGAAGAATTTTGGCGCCAGCCTCAATCCACACATATGCATCATAAAGGGCTGCAGGTGTGGGATGTAAGACAAAACTCAGAGTGTGGGGGTTTGAGGCATCTTGCTCAATCACGGGGGCATTGCATTGCAACCGCAAGGCGGCGCGCAGTGCCCTTCTCAGGGCTCGGTCACCGGGCGGGTACAGAGTATAGATGTCCATTTGGACATGGAGTTTTCTTCTGGGAGAAGCAGCGGGAAAGAGTTGGGCTCATAGTCGCACATGGTTCGGCTCAAGCTACTTGCTCCTTCTGTCAGCACCCTACAAGCACCCTAATGACAGAGTCGCCCTCGCGTCAGCCTCCGACTACTCAGCCAACCAAGGGCGAAGATGCCAAAGATGCCTCTGACTGTTTTTCCGTGGGGTTGCGACTGGGCCTAGCAGGCAAGAGTGTCGTGGTGTCAGTTCCCAGAGATCAAACGGTGTCGGACCTTCGCATGCACTTTGCGCGAGCAGCTGCAGAGTTCGACCATGGCATGGTGTTGATTCTGGGCGACCGCGTAGTTCACAACACCGAAAAGCTTTCGGACTTAAGGCAGGAATCAGCTGAACAGTTGGGGTTCACTGCTGTACACGACTCCTGCGAGAACATTCGGACAGAGCTGAAGAGGTTCGTCAGACGTTTTGATGCGCGCACCGTCGGACGACTCATGGCAGAGGGCGATCCAGACTGCATCGAAGAACTGTTTGGTCAAGATCTTGAGAAGTTGTATCTTCACAATGATGCCATCATTGATCGGCTGGATGTAGAAGTGCTCAAGGATCTGGAGGCTTTCTACAGACTGAAACGACATTGCAACCTGCACATCCGTTGTTTGAGTTGCTGCTCCAACACGGGTCCAGCTTGTGTAGTCTGGGACCTTGACGGCGAGATGCACATCATTGGTCAGTACTGACTGGTGAGCCTTCTTGTGTTGCGAAGTTGGGAGATTTACAGCACATGCAAAAAAAAGCATTGATTGCCTCGCGAGACTGAATGCACAAGGTGTGTGGCCGACAGTCTGCCCAGCATCCAAGAAGCTCAAGTTCAGAGCCAAAGCCTCAATGATGCTCATGCCTGAAGGCTCCTGAATGAAGGCGGCTTAAGGCTTTGATTTGCTTCGTTGTGGCACAGGACTGAACAGAAATCTGATCGATGACTTGTGGCTCATCATGCGCCCACAGAAGCTAAAAACCCATAGGCTTGAGCCCTACCTCCTTTTCCGCAAAACCATCAGCCCATCAACACTTGGGAGGCAATCACTGGTCTTTGCGCAAACGAGTCCTTCGTGGTGACTGCTTCTTCCGATCGACATGTGCGGGCAGGGTGCCTAAACGACAACACTGTGGCTGAATCACACCACTATTTCACCAGGCCAATCCCACAGAAACAATCAAGTTTTCAGAAAGGTCTGGCCTTTGGACTTCCGGTCCTTCTACCTCCATGCGCTGCACGAGACTGCCCTGACGGGCATCGACATCAGCCTGGATGGGCAGCAGGTTTGGAATTTGTGGAGGGGCTTTGTGGGGGGTTAGGGGGCTGTGAGATTCGGGCTGAGGTTGTTCAACGTCGAGGACTCGAGGAGTAGCCTGCGCATGTCTGCCGTCCGCCTGTCCGCTGATGTATTAAGTAGCGTGTTGATGCATTGCCGCTGCTTCTCTTGTTGGCCACTTGCTTGAAGCCGAAACAGCAGGCACAGCCGAATACCTTTGTTCATTGGTTCGTGATACAGCCCTATGAAAGTTGAGAGGTTGTGCAAGGCGATGGCATCTGTAAGAGCACGTTCGCGGCTCCCGTTGCGTCCTGGACCGGCCCATGCACAACCGGCTTTCTGCACTGCTTCAACCCAATACCAGAAACATCCCCCCCCCACCCCCACCAAAAAAAAAAACAAAGAAGAAAAAAGACTACGAGTAACGGCAATGTGCTTCTTAATGCCTGAAAAGAGTCGTTTGGTTCGAGACCGGGCACCAGCGTGTCGGAGGTGCTGTGTAGCACAGCGGACGGGTCAGTCGGCATGCGCCGAGCCCAGTTCTTTGTGTCTTTGTGGTTTCGGGAGTTTGAAGTTTTTGTAGGATGGGTTGCGGAGGGTTTGGCAGGGTTGCGGTGCCAGCAAGTGCCCTTAACAGACACTATGAGATCGTTGCCATAAGGCGACAAGAAGGGCAGAGGTTGCCGAATCAATGCTCACACCCTCAGGGGGTTCCAGGCTTGTTCAGGGAGTCTTAGCACGAACATTTCAGACGGGGGGAAGGAAGCTGTTGAAGCAGATCTTCGACAACATCCGTTTCCAGGAATCAATTTGTGGAGGGGCAAATTGAAGTCTCCCTGCGCAGTTTGTTGGGACCAGCCTCCCTGTGGTGGGGACCGGCGTGCCTCGTTCGGACTGTCGGCCTGAGCGCGATAGCTGACCAAAACCTCAGATCACATGCGCTCTACGATGACAAGGTTGAACCTCCAGTCACACCAATACCAGGACCTGCTCCGGCCAGACCCTGAGAGCTAGCAGTTCTTTGCACAGTGCTCAGAGGTTGTTTGGTTTTGCTGCACGAAGATCACGTGATTGTGGCTCATCGGCTCATCTGAGCTGTTGAGGTCCCACAAGACGACAATCCTGCGAGCAGCGCCGGTCCCCAGTTTGCTTCATGCCAGCCATCATTGATTATCACATGTTGCTTCAAAAGCAGCTCAGATTAGTCATGTAGTCATGTCAGTTGCAGACGAACTGGTCCCAGGCCCTCGGCCATGCCGGGCAGCCTGGGAGCGTGGAGCTGGTTTACATATGTTTACAGCATGATTTGTCTCGTTACCCTAAACAACCTACCTGTCAGGCTTGTTTACGGTTGCACGGGTCTTTGCAGCTTTTGTAGTGGTAGTGGTAGCGTTCAGTATGGGGTTTGGCTTGGTTGCACCTGTTTCACAGACATGCCTTTGGAATGGATGGTGTGGGTGACGGAGACAATGAATATCACTTCTTGCTTCCACGGCCCCAGACACCCCTGTAGCTCATGGCATTCCACTGGTCGCTGAACTTCGGAGCAGAAGATACTCAAAGCTTCGTCCTATTCATGTGGGACAAATCTCGCTTCCCGTATCTGAGGCATCCAAAGAGCTGGCCAGTGCGGCAGAGGGATCACTCAAGGCCGGCCTCTGCTGGTTCGCACGCTGTCCAGTTTTTCAAAACAGGAGCAGCCCAATCTCTTCAGAAATGCCGGAGCGTCATGTTGGTGCGATGTGTGCGTGCTGGTGTGGGCGCCTCGGCTGGCTCCTCTTCGGCGCTGCAAGGCTCTCCTCTTAGTAGGCTAGGTAGGCTCCACAAGGGGGCACCTGAGATTGCATCCATTCTGTCTCGCCTGGCTTCGCGCCTGAGTAGGCCACATTTTGCAGAACATGGTGGCAGGGCCCACGCCGCCTACTAGCAAGACTTCGTTTGTATGTGCGCGCCATCAGAGCTGCACGCGAGTGTATCCTCCTTGGGAGGTTTGGAGCCTCCCGTCCCTGGACCAGATTCGAGATGTTCCCCTGCCAGAGGTGCAGGTAGAGGCACTGCGTGCGGGTTAGGGGCAGAGCGCAGGCCAGGGCAAACAGTGGCTTGGCATGTTGTATGACTTCGAGGAAGCCCATGCAGACCAGCGAGCACGTGAAGATTTTTCCATGCATCGAGCAAGAGCATAAATGCAACATCCCGACCCAGAGATCAAAGCTTCTATGCTGCAACACGGAGGCTGTGGCGTTCCATCCTCACCATCGACAGATTGCGATCAGCTTTCAGCACGGAGCGCCCAGTCAAGGGTTTTGCATCAATGCTTTTGACAAGCTCTTTTTGCTCACTCGCGAGTCGATCCCGCTGAGCTGCTGAGCCCTGTGCTGTCATCCCAGTCCCAGTCTTCGTGGGGTGAGGCACCCGAGCCACAAACTCCTTATGGGATTGCAGGTTGGTTGCGAGGTCAGCTTGCTTGAAGGTACTTCTCAGTTGGCTCTTGTGTTGAGGTCTGGCGCCTTGCTCGTGTTCGATGTGGCCGCCGCCGCACGGAGCCTACACCTGGACCGTTGCATCAAGCATCCCTAAATTCGACGGGGAGCTGAGTGTAAATTAAAGTGCTTGCACAAGTAGACGAGAACGCGATGCTCGAGATGACTATGCTCAAGAGTTGTCCTGGTCCAGGCAGCCGTGGCCCAGCGGAAGCACGAAAGACGACTGGTGGTGCTCTGCTTCTTGGATACAGGCCGGGGTGCTGAGCTGCACTGATAAGCCAGGTGACAGGAGAACGGGCGCTTTGGAGTTCAGGAAACTTGTGAACTAGCCATGACCTCAATGAATGACATGAATACAACCGACGTTGAAGTGGCATTTCGTAGGTGTGACGTGGCCATGCCGTGGCAAGAGGCACACATCCACTTAAGAGACAAGCTGTAATGTGTACAGATGGGGCAGAAGACTTGGTGTTGGAAACTCCGACCGTCAGCACGCTACTGAGCTGCCGTCTGCTTGTTTTCTTTTTCTGCTTGTTTCAGAGGTGATGGCAAAGACCAGGCCTGAGAATGCGCAGCAGCCGACATGGGGTTTCTTGGAGGTGAGGTTGTTCAGGCGAAGCGGTCGGAGTTGACCTATCGTCACGATTTGAACCTTGAAGTTGGGCCGAAAGTGGTTCTCAACACGGGTTATTCACTCAAAGCTAGTGCCCTGAACTCCTTTGGGTGGCATCTCGGTGGCACAGAAGCTTGGATTTAGACCGCAGAAGCAGAAAACCGCAAGAAGCAAATCAACATGCCCCTGGCGCATCTGGCAAGGCGGCTTGCCTTGCAGCAGCAGACACGGATAGCGCGGTGATGATCTTCAGTGAGGCAGATGAGCTGGCTTTAGCGCCGCTGTTGGAATGAGGGTGTTTGCCGTCAAGGGTTACAATCGGAGACGCAGCAAGGTGGAGTGGGTGGAGTGGGTGGCTGTTGGGGCTTGTACTTTTTTCGGGGCGACCCAATGCAAAGCCCCAAAGCTGCTTTGGCCGCGAGCGGTTGATTAATGGCCTCTCAGGCCCGTGGCTACGAAGCTGTCGGAAGCTGTGCTGCTGAAGTCTCCTGCCTGGCTCCCATGTGGGGCCAACATGTTGTTTCCATTGCCAGGTGTACAACAAGAACCCTCTGCTCTGCGTGAAAGGAGACAGCCCCCCCCCCCCCCAACCCAATCATACCCGGGAAAACGAGAGAGCATGTCCTTTTTGCTATTTCCTGGCCGCCGATGGGCTCACGGGCTCGCATCTCACCCGACGGGCTCCATGCCGCCATGGACTGTGCCAGACCATGTGGGACCTTATTCCTGAGCTGCTCGGCTCTTCAATATGTCTTTGTTGGGATGGCCCTCGGAGGCTTGGGGAGATGCTCCAGTGTTGCGCAGCATGTCGCTACTTCTTCAAATCCGCAGTTACCGTGTGTGTGTGTGTGTGTGTGTGTGTGCGTGTGTGAGTGCACAGACATTTCCCCTTAAATGCAATATCGATAATTAATTATGATCTTGGGATGTCAGGATCACATATCTGCTTAGCATGGTGGAGACGGTTTGCACTCTTGCATTCGTCCTGCTGAATTCCTTCTAGTACACGTTCCTCACAGACTTCAGCAGTCAGAAGAAGTGGCAAATCCATGCACTTCTTACATTGAACGTTCATATTATGCCTGTGTGCCAGCGTGCCTGCGAGCTCGCAGCTGAGGAAACCGATAGCCCCAGATTGAGACATCATGGTGGCAATGCAGAGTTCGAACCTTACAGCACTTGGCCTGCGCGATCTGAGGGTTGTTCTAAAGGTCCCAAGTTTTCCAGTTTAGAAGAGGGTCTGCGAAAGATCAAGGTTGCAGGCCCTGTGGCCCGTTCTGATCCACACGTGGCTCTTTTGGCTTCACAAGAAATTGTGGGTGCAAGCTTCGCGAAAGTATTGCAAAAGCGGCTGAAATTCGGTAGCCCACGCAAGCAGGATGTGAGACATTGAGCTTTTTTCGGAGAGTGTCTCGAAACCACTGGCCGGCAAGGACAGAAGCGAAGTGCATGAGATTATACGAGGCATGCACCGCGCGCACGCGCACTCGCACGCACGCACACACGCACGCACGGACGCGCACGGTCGCGCGCAGGCACGCACGGGCAGACAGACAGACAGACCTACATACAGACAAACAGACAAACAGACACACATACATACACATGCACACGTGTGGGGAGTGCGCACACAGTTCATGCCATCCCATTTCCCCAAAAGCCAAGCGATCGGGGTCTCCAGCCCTCGTGTTCTGGAGCAGTTCCGAAGCCGAAGGGAAAGGAGATTATAGAAATATACACGGAGACTGAAAATGCGCGGTTCTGACAATAATCGAGTCCCACCATCCGGTTCCTGACTTGGCAGAGCGGAGAAAGGAGGAGATGAAGACCGGAGACACGGCTCGCGATTCTCTCGCAACCGCGCCGCTAGGAGAGCGGATGTCCAGTGGTACACTGCTACAATAAACTGTTTGAATGGCAAGAGGCCACGCATGTTGCATTCGCACATTTTCATTTCAACTTAAGGCCCTGGAATCTTGTTAGTAGCTGGGCTACAGCGGACCTATTCTTTCATTTTCAGTTTGAGCAAATTTTCGATCATGTTTTCACAAGGCCAGGCCAGCACCGTGTTGGTCGGTTCAGCTTCAGCCTCCTGATAATTCAATGCACGTGTCCTTGTTCACAATCTCGCCGATCGCTGCAGGTCCAACTCTGATGGCATGTTCGCTGCTCCTTGCCTTCCTTGCGGTTGAGGTCAGTGGCTCCGAGGCTCAGGCATGTGGGTGGGATGGGGATCTGGGTGGTGCGGTCGGAAGATGACGTGTCTCTTTGCTGTGCCTGGTTTCGTTGGCGTTCAGGGTTCCATGATGTGATGTCGAGGTTGGGGCTGGCGGCCAGCTGATGCACCGGAATCCACAGCTTTCCCTCCACCCCACTGTTGCTGTTGCAGGTGCCGACCATGGCAAAGTGCCCGGTGATGCTGCAGAGCCAGGCCGTTTCTTGGTCCCAATAAACCTGGCAAGAGTTGTGTGGAACCAAGAAGCGAATCATAAGGATTTTGTCAGTAGTGCGAAATCGGCACATGGCCATGCGTGCAGAGCTTGCAGATGCATGCGAGTCACACGAGGCTAGCCTGGCAGCGGACACAGTTGCAGAGGCTGAGGATACAGGCGACCTTTCTACTGAGAGAACCTTGGCGAAAAAGGGCGGAACTAGGACCCAGCAGTGCCTAGGCTGTATCGTGTGCTTCGCATTTCCTTGCTCAGGGCAGCCGGTTCCCGCCGAGCTGGTGCAGACCTCACGGAAGGCACGGGATCTTTAGCACTTGGTCGAACGTCCTCCTTTGGTGCCACCCTGGTTTTTTTTTCAGATGCCGTTTTCAGGTTGCAGGCATATGTTCTCCACATGCCACCACATGCTGGATTGCAGCTGTTTGGAGCAGTCAAATGAGTCGTAGAAAGACACGGAAGAAGACTCCACCTCTCAAGGATGCCAGGGACACGGCACACCAGACTCCAGTTCAGGAGCATCTCGGCTGCGCCCGGGGATCTTTCCCGAAGCCATCCTAGTGCTTTTGGCTTGGCAATTCTGTTGGTGTTGAGTTTCGGGCAAAAAAAAACTCAAAGCCATAATTTGGATGAGTAGTGGCGATTGGATTAATTTTGGGAGCTTGCAGCCTGGAAAGCCCCAGGCAAGCCTGAACCCAGGTTCTCCATCGACAAGCCTAGCGGCCGTGTCGTGGATATCAACATCGGAACAAACTTCAGCCCAATGCGTGCGGAAGGCAACAATTTCCTCGCCGATCGGCCGCGTTTGCATGTTGGCGTTTGGTGCGATACAGTCTTTTTTCTTGTGAGGGCTCAGAGAGCTTCAGTCAGACTGGCCCAGTTGCGCCCAGCGGTGCAGCCGAGGTTTTGGTGGATCCTTTGCCTGACGTTTGCGAGTACTTGCGGAAGGGCAGCCATTCAAACACCGACGTGGCAGTGCTTTGCTGTGCGGTGTCCAACTACACTGGCCATGCAACATTTCGGCGCTACAACAGGGACGGGTTGTCCTCATCGCTGTCTTCCACGACTGCAGGAACCACCCATGCAAGGTTTCCTGTCGAAGACGAGATTACCGTGGTGGTATTGGAAGCGGCAACTGTTCTACGTGGATATCTTGCGAGGAAGAACACCTTGCACAAGCTCAAAACTGACATGCAGGGCATGGACCTGACAACGCTGCGAAACCTAGAGCCCATCTTGTCTATGCCGGATCAAGTTCCGCACCTCATGTCCGAGTGCTGCTTTCCGGATGACCAAGGGAGACAGGCTGACTGCGGCTGACTTGTCATTGTGGGCTCGGTTTTTTTTAAGCTTCAGTAAGGCCTTTCATCACAGAAGTCGAACCGAACCGTGTTACGCCTTTCTCGTACCAAGCCTGACAGGTGTACCAAATCGACAACGACTGCAAAGCCATGGTAGCATACTTGCAGAGCTTGGGGTACACCACCAAGTTTGAAGCGGACGGCCGGCGTCAGAGAGAATTGTTGCTTCTGGTTGATGTTTAAAAGTCTTGGGGGCCAAGCATACTTGCTGGATACACCCCAAGTCATTCGCTAACGTGGTCCCAAGGACAGCGCGATGGACCGAGCAGGATGGGGCAACGTGTATGCGTACAAACATCCGGCCACCACCTTCCTCAGCGACTCTGTTAATTGCTCCGGTCATTGATGTCTTCGGTTTTCTCGGGTTTGACTCACAATACTGCTGAACTACTTTGGGCTAGTGTGAAGGTTTATCAAACATATCAAATGGTATGGCATGGGCCGGGGCCCTGGGGCTTGTGCTTTGGGACGGAAGCGCCCCCGCGCCCCCCACCCCCAGCAGCAACTCCAAGTTGTAATCGTAGTCGACTGTTTTGTTGTTATCGTGTCGTCGTCGTTGTGGTTCATCATCTCGTCGACGCTGTCGGCGACGCCGACGCCGTCGTCGTGGTGGTCGTTGTCGTTGTCGTCGTCTTGTTGTTTGGAGGGGAGAGAGTGGCGTTGACGGACTTGGACGGTGTGCAGTTACTGGCCAGTTGCTCAACTTCCGGGCAAGCCACATGTAGCTCTAGGTTTCGGATGACTTAGAATTTGTGCAGTACTCTTGGAACCGCCGTGCGTGGCGCCTTCAAATAACTTGTAGATAGCGGCCTGAGCTTCCGGTCTAAACCCGGCTAAACGAGAGGAGAGCAGCCCGAGGAACAGAAGCCTGGGCTGGGTCTCGCTCGGCCTGAACCAGAGCTCTCAGGCGATTTGATGAGGAAAACATGGGCTTGGCAGTTACAGGCTGGTTACAGCAGGAATTGCTTCAATAAACTTACTGGTTTCAGGAGGCTTGTCAGTTCGGGCGCAACCTGCCGGCACAAGAAGCAGATGGTGAAGAAGAAGATGATGAAGATGAATAAGACCAATAGAATGTGAAGCAGTGGGAAGGAGGGAGAGAGAGAGAGAGAGAGAGAGTTCTCGGGGATGTCTCCGCCCTACATGCCCTAATGAAACAGAAGCAAACGAAATGAACCCGAGCTTAGCTTGGCTTCGGCCGTCTTTGCTGCTGCGCACCGCACAAGACTGGGCACGCGAATTGCGCGACGGTGCTTGCCGCCTCAAGCCCCACGACCCCACGAAAGAAAACAGAAAAAGAGGGGCCGAAATGCCACGCCCAGAGTCGCAAAAAAACTCCGAGTGCACGTGATTCCCGCAACCGTACAAGGATTTGCCTGTGAACGCGGCCATACCGATGTGGAGTAGGTAAGTAGGTAAGTAGGTAGCCTGGCCATGTTGGAAGCTCAGACCCCGGAAAGAGCGGTTGGCCCAGCCCACCCTTCGCCCCGCGAAAGAAAGAGCCACGCGCATGGACTGTGAACGTGGGCACACGCCTGCACGCGGGGGCAAGGGGTGAACCCCAAAGGCGCAGAAGCTCCACTGGATCGCCCTGAGAAACAGGCTACCCTGAGACTGGCGGACAGATGCCGTGGAAAAAAAGACTTCTAAGACTTCTGCGCCTAAGCCCATAAGTGGTGCGCGACGGGTTTCAGGTCTGTCTTCTTCAGAGTGAGTTGGCTTTTGAGATCGGTGTTCTAGTCCCTCTCTCACCCAGGCTCGTAGACGAACCAACGTGCTTTGTCAGACAAGAAAAGTTGGCTGCATTTCTCCTTGGCTGGCAGTGCTGAAAAGGAAGCCAGAGTTTCGAGAGGAAGAGGTTCCACGAGGTTTTGCAACAGCTGAGCAGCATTTAACATAGCCAGGAAAGTGTGAGCAAGCATAGAAGCGGTAGATTGTCACAAAGATTACGGCTAGGGATAGGGGTGATGTTCTTCCAGGACTTCATGCAGGTGGCCTTTGATGAAGCGTCTCGTCCCACGGGCCACGCCGTGCATGGCATGCTGACCACGCAAAAGATCCCGTCCTCAAGCGCCTATCTACCTAGAACTGTCCTGACAAACCTCCTCTAAATTTGAGTTGCGCTTTTCTGTTCTGGTAAGACTGGCATATGGGGTGTTTCTTCGGAAAGCCCAGAAGACCGAAAAGGCGACGCGCACGATTCACCAAGGCCTCGGCTTCGATGGCACCACGCCGGCGCCCAGGATGAGCGCAGCACCACCGAGGCCCACTTTGATCCTCTCGCATAGCTGCCGCAGAGCTCATGCCAGCTTGGGTTTGGAGGGTTGGGCACGTTCAGCGGACGTTTCAAGCAGAAACCACGCAGTCATCGTTCCAACCGCTTTGAGGAAGATGACCGGGTTTCCACACAAGCCGAAGACACTAATGACCACGAAGGCGGCTAAGGAAGCTAGACTCTTGTAAATGGAGATGGGGTTCTCCATGTGTGACTGCTCGGACCGCCCAGCAGGCGTATGTTCCAAAGTAACCCAGAAAGCGCTGTCAAGTGCTTCTAAAATGTCGGAGAGTGGACAGTTTGCAATCTGCGGGATAGCTCCGAAGAGCAGGTTGCTTTGGCTGGCAGACCGATCCGTTGTTCCTTGGCTGCATTGGCCCCCCCACAGGCTTAAACTGGTCTCCCACACTTGGAAATTTCAGATCTCAAGTGGTGCAAGTGTCGTACTCGTACTTGCTGCTGCTCTTGTTTGATTCTCTCATCCAAGGTGTTGCAAAGTCTTCCGGACGCTCGCCTTGTTGCAACCTTGGCACCCAACACAAAGGCCAGGCTGAAACGCAGATCTTACACCTGACATATCCTGACATCACCTGCTCGAATATGGCTATAGGCAGATGGCAGAAACAGAGCCGTGCTCCAAGGCAGTGCAGGCATGACAACCTTGCAACAAGCAACAAGCTGAAGCATCTCGAGAAAAGCGGCCTACTTCTCTTGGCCAGAGGCACATCAGAAGCCTAAATGCAAGTGTGAACCAGGCTGAGCGACGGAACCCAGTGGAGTGATCAATTCCCTGAACCTGACATGGCTCACACAAATTGCGGACGTGCTGATTCTTAATTACGCACGAGCAGGAAAGCAAAGGCAATCTTAACGTTTGTTGTGTTGGCGCAATCTTGTCGGGCTAAGGCATCTCAAGTGAACATGTGTTTGAAACTGTGCTTTGGGCTTATAAGAGCATCGGGAAAATGACAAAATGTAGAGGCACTGCATTACTACTTCAGTGGACAGAGGTGCTATATGGGTGGCAGGATGTTCAATGCCGTTCGCGCCAGGTGTCTTGCATCAGCTTCTCACAATCGGGCCGCTTTGCCTTGCTCTGCACCTCTGACGGCGATTGTGGCAGGTGTTTCCGAGGTGCTTGTCTAAGCTGGGGTTTTCGATTCACTCAGCTCAGCTTTGGGATACCTTGGGAAAAACCAAGTACAATGGTTTGGGATCCCACTGTACCTGTCTGCTCAAAGCCTCATCAATCTCGGCCCTCGGATCCGGAAAATCCTATAGCTCTACTGCCTCTCTAGGGGCTCAACAAAAGAGCCAAGGCAGCGCAGACCTGAAGATCCGTGCCTTTGAGGAGCGCATGGGCTGTGCTCTCCGTGTTTGGGGCATTGGCGTTAGGCCAGGTTCGAGAGCCGTAGGGGGACTTTGAAGAGCAAGCGAGGATGCGGATTTTCGTGACACCTGAGCTGAGGGCATCTGCTGGGCTCCAGCATGTTTTTGTGTCGAAACTGCTGCTGCAGAGTCTTATTCCGGATCAAGCTAGAGAAGAGGTTCCAAGAATGGGTTCACTTTTTTTGGTTGGGGGGAGGGGGAGAGGGGGGAGGGGTTTTGGAGAGTGCCCTTGGAGGCTGGGACAGGCACACCAGTCTTCACATCACCCTGCTGTGGCCCTTTGCGTTCATCTCTGAGTGAGCAGGGCTGGTGTGGTGTTGGGGTCTGCGATCTGTTTCTAAAAAGGGCTAGGAATTTGAGGTTGTGGCAAAAAGGTCGACAGATGACTTTTGGGTTTCAGGATCCCCCAATGGCCGAAGAGTATTCTCACCACAAGACCATAGATAGGCCATTCAAATTCCTCACGCATGCTGATTCTCATCTCTGCTTCTTTAGCTCGAAATTGGAGAGCCCGAGCATCTAACCGAGACCCTCGACGCGTCGTCTCAAAACCCTCTCAGACCCTGAGCCCTCAAGCCTTCCGCATTGGGTCCGTAAGCAGAGCCCTGAAGTCCGAGAGGAGCACGGCTCGGCTGTGAAAGACAAGACAAGTCCATCAATCGTTCGAAGCTCCCCTCCCCGTATCTCCCCGTCCCCGTCTAGCAAAATCTTCGAGGCTCTGTCCACCTCGGGGACGATGGGCCACCGCCTTGGCCGCTCTTGTCCGCAGCGGCACGGAGCTCAAAGAGCCTGAGCTGGAGCTTCGGGCCCGCGGGACCGTGTTGGGGCTTTCTTTTGGCATCCTTGTCTGAGCGGAAGGCACCAGGTCACCAGGAACATCCGAGCTTGCTTGTGAAGTTGGGGCTGCAAGGGATGCGGGAGAACCGGGGCACCTGTGGGAAGGATATCCTCCAATGCTCGGAAAGAACTAAGAAACGCTACCTTAGGTTGCGCCTCGGCATAAAACGGCTTGGAAAGGATCAACTCTTGGCGCGTGTCGGTCTTTAAGAGGGTTAGAGTTGGCCCATCTCGTTCTCATGGCGCTCAGGCCGACAAGCTGCTGAGGACCACCCCGATCCTTTCCAAGATCGCTTCTGCAAGCAGAGATGGCAGCTTATTACAAACGACAGAGGGCCGCAGCTTGTTCACTGCACGGGCGACATAGGCTCGACGTGGATGTCATCGGAGAAACTTTCTCCAAGATGAGCCCTCAAAAGGCACCCAAGCCCTGAACCTACACCCAAGCCCTGAAGAAACGGACAAGCATCTCGCAAGTCCCTGTTACCATGCAAGCTCGGACTCCAACGAAGTTTGGCCAGGATCGCACGCGTAGGAACCAAAGCCGACTCGGAGGAGGCCAATGGGAGAAGGTTCAGAGAAGGTTGAGAAGGGGAGCAGTAGCAGTGTTTGGGTTCACTGTGTAGGACATCGCATCTGGTCAGATACGGTAGTCATGGGCCAGGTGGGTGAAGGAAGTGCCTCCTTCACCGTGCAACTTGAGCAGAGCTTCATTGCTCACGTGCGGAGCTCGGACAGGATTTCCTGCGAAATGCCTCTTGAGCTAGACTGAGCCAACCCTACAGTAGAGCCCTAGAGAGATCATGGGCTGTAGTCCGTCACCTCAAGACAGGCTCCCAGACCAGAGCCTTCAATCTTTGTGGTGATGTGTGCAACATCATGCGACCCGAGACCCGGATTGTCAGCGTAGCTATCTTCCAACTGAATCTCAGGGTGTCCTGTTAGGACGTGCAACATCTTGGAGTCCTAGACTCTTTCGGGTTGTGTCATCATTGTCATCTAGCTGAGTTGCTGCGATAAATGGGTCAGTTGCACACAATCAAGAGATCACCTCAAGACAACGGAGCGGAAGCTTTGTGATTGCTTCCATTAGTTGCAGTTTCAAGCAATTACAACAACCTTCTAAGACATTGCCATTACTTGTTCAGAGCTCGACGCCTTATGTCAGCTTGCATCCAATTGACTTTCAACCTCCTACATGAGATTTGAGCCAGTCGGTGGGAGGCATGTTTGGCGTCAGCAGTCCTAAATCTTTAGCAACGAATCTAAGGCCGTCGCCCCACCATCCTCAGGAACAGACCCTGATGCCTTAATCGAACTCAGGCAGAAGCGCCTCACCAGCTGAGCTTCGCCTCAGGCAGGGATGCCCTGGTTGCATCTCGGGAGACCAAGAGACTTGTTCCACATTGGGAGGTCATGCGATTTCCCTGAGCTCCTCGGAGATTGTTTGCTGGGACCCGCATCTGCAAAGATTCGGGCAGCGTTGTTTCTACTTGCTGTCTCAGCGTTAGAGATTTGTGATTTGTTGTGCTGAAATGCGTTGGTTTTGCCAAAAACTATCCTGGTTTAGTGCTTGCATCAACAAAAAGAAAGTGGAGTCCTGGGACGCCAATTAAACGGGCTTTGGAAAGATGGTCCTGGCGACCGATAGAACGATGGGGGCTTCAAGCAGCTGTTTGGTGTTTTAGAGACCCCCAGTCTCGTCGAGGGTTCGTGTACTGCGGCCCGTAGCCTCCAAAAAAATCCAGCCCTGAGCATAAGCATCCAGAAGTCCAGAAGCACAAGAATCTCTTGCTCCTTGGCACTTACAACAAACGTTGCACCACTCAGGAGATGGCCACTCCTTCGACTGCAAGACCGGGGCTGATGGAATGACTATTGACTGCTGAAGGATGCAGGGGGCACGAAGTGGACGCAAGGTCGGCACCGGCCTCCAGAGCCTCAAACGTTAGAGTTAGAGCATGACCTTCGTTGAGGGAATGTGCTCAATGAGCGTTTGCCTGCGTCCAGGGGTTGGGGGCGACTGCCGGCGCACGATGACAGTCCGAAATTGCGTTTACGCTGAACATGCAGGCTGGTGGTTTATGGTTTGGGTCTTGAGCTCCATCACACCAGTTGAAGTTGTAATTTCAGGACCCTTGCTTGAAGTACCATCCCAGCATGTTCAGTGACTGCGATGGGGCGCCAGGACTACAAAATGACAGGCTAGTGCATGCTTCTGCTGGATGCCACCTAACTAAGGCCAAAGCTGCCTCCCACCTTTCGTTCCATGAGCGATGCACTGTCATGTGCCCGAAACTCGAACAATTACAAGGCGAAAGACTCACAGCGCCGACAACTAGACAAGGCTTATCAAGGACTAGAAGCGAGCCAAGTGTCAGAAGGGGACGGTATACCCCGCCCCCCATCCGTCCCCCAAGTATCAAAACATCATGCTACGTCCACATCGTTTGCTTCTTGGCTCGGGTAGGGAGCGGTTTGCTGGGCCTCGGAGCTCCCGCCGTAGCCCTGACAGCGGAGCGATGCCGCCGAAAGGGAGGAAGAACTCCGATGAGGCCCCAGAGAGGGGCTTTTCAAGCGCAACACAGTCCATTCAGTGGTTTGTATCTGCAAAGTTCACGTCTGATCCTTTGTCACTTTGTCTTGACACACCGGATCGATGTAAGTTTTAGCCACTGTGCCGGCCTGCCAGGCTATCCCCGCCAAAGCTGGCCACATCCACAGAGGGTGTTCCAAGAGTCGCCAATAGAGATCTTCAGCAAGGGCTGCAAAGGCTGCAATGAGACGCGGCCAAGGTACCGCCGATAGTGGATCCGCCTGGAGCAGGTGCTCCGAGCGCCATGAGATACTGCAACATTGACTGAAGTAGGATGAGTGACGAAGTCTAAGCAGGGCTGTTAAGTACTGTTCAGTGGTGACCCAGATGCCGGTGAAGTGAGGTTCGGGTTGTAGAATTTGGGGTTGATGGTTCCACCTTGAGTTTCAAGGGTTCAGGACCTGCGAGGTCTCTGGTGGTTCGATGATGTGGCTCGGATGAGTTGGCCAAGCACTGGAACCGTTGAACTTTATGCCTCCGTTCTGCGGAAGCTCTTTCAACAGCATGGGTGCCTCTCCCGTGCACACTTCCGCCTTGCAAGCCCTAAGCCGACCCACATGAGTACTCTGAGAGCAGTAAGTCAGTAAGGCTCAAGAAAGGAAAGACTAACTGAGACCGAAGCCACAGAGAGAGTTTGCGATGTCGCAGGCCTCCAAATACAGGAGGACCAGCCCGGTCACCAACGTCATCCTCAGGCACCAGAGGGTACCAGGAATACATCATGTTGGCCATACAGCTACACTGATAGGCACTGATAAGTCTGATATGCCTTCAGCCGCTTCAGCCCTGAGGTTGAAACTGCTTGGACCGAAGCAGCACTAGAGCTGCGAAGAAAGACCAAGTACCACTCTCCATCTGTATATCTGTATATGTTCTAAGGCACTGTGGCTTGAAAGCACGGGGATCTGATATGTAAGAATCATGCAGACAATGAGCTGGCTGTACCTTCATGTAGATCCCTCTAGAACCCCACCACAGCTTACACACCGACAACACAGGCATGCTAACATGTCACAGTTGCCACTAAGTTGAGCCCTACCCTGCCACAGCGGCCAGGCCCCAAAGCCAAGGCTACTAGCGTGACGCATATGAGTATAGCTGCGCAGGCGGCGAGGCAGGGGATGGGCTTTTGTTCAGGTTGCTGGCTTCAAGTTGGGGATTGCAAAGTCTCGAAAAGGTCCTAGAGTGCCGAACTTTCTAACTTTCCTTTGTTTCCATCCTGTCTTGCTTTGATTCCAGGTCTTCGCCATACGTGGTCCTGAAATCACAGCCTTCGACCTCCAAAAACACTTTCGGAGCGTTTACGCACAGCCGATCTCTGCAGGAATCTCGGAGGTTTTGTGCCGAATAAGATCTTCGTCGGTGGGGTGCCCATCACGGTCACCGAGGCCCGTCTCGTGTCTCTAGAACAAGGTCAGCTCGATGATAGAAAGCTCTCTTAGGACACCTCAACCTACCATAGTGGGATGACTCAAGAAGAGGGACCTAGCAAGCTCCAGGACCACTGGGATAAACATACACCCTAGAAGTGCTGAGTCTTTCGCTCGCCGCAGGAGCAGTTCAGGCAATGCTTCGCGCAGTATGGAGCCATTACGAAGGTGCCTTGTCAGCACGGCCAGTGGCTTGACCCATCTGGCCAGGAGGGCCGAGGCTATGACGACTACAAATCCAAGTCTCATGCCCGACCACTTGGTGAGCAGTTCAGGTGGAACTTCATGCGCTGAGAGGCTTTGGGTACGTTACCTACGACACGGTCGAGGCAAGATGCACGGCTAGAGATCAAGAAGCAGATCGGCATGTTCGTGGATCTCTCGACGGTTTGTGGTTCCTAGTTCCGAATTCTTCTTGACCCCACCGCCCACAAGCAAGTCTGCGCTAGACAGAAATAGAAACTCCCGGCCCTGCGACGTCCGGTAAGAATCTGGAATGTTATGTTTTAGTGTGATATTCATAACTTGAGGTTCCTCGGTTTAGACATAAAAGACGGCAGTGGCAGATAGATTCTGAGAAACATGCTGATGACGTGCGGATTCGTTGCTGGAGCACCGTGGAGGCATAAAATTCCTTTTCTCCATCTCTTCCCGTTGCCTGAGCAGGCCGTGGATGCGTGTCTAGAAAAGTACGAGGAGCATTACCTCAGCAAGAAGTGGGTAGAAGCCGGGAGCCCTGATCAGCTCCAATAGTGCAGACAAGCTCACGGTTCTGGGGTTATTTTCTCAGATCTTTTCCGAGATTCGTTCCTTCTGATTGTCTGGCAATTCAGGGCTCTCGCCGTGAGCCGATGCTTGGGGCCATGATGACGTCTCCCTCCCTCCCTCCCTCCCTCCCTCCTCCCTCCCTCTCCCTCTCCCTCTCCCTCTCCCTCTCCCTCTCCCTCTCTCTCTCTCGCTCTCTCTCTCTGTCTGTCTGTATTGAGCCTCCTATGTCAACCTTACAGAACAAGATGCAATTCTGTGGATGCCCATCTTTGGGCAATATTCATAGATGTCGCGGCTGACGTAAGGTCAAGCGTTCCATTCCGCGGGAGCTCATCGATGCTTACGCAACTCGTCTGGTCCAAGCCGCAAGTTAGCAAACGCGGCCAGCAGAGCAGCTGCCCCCTGAGACAACCTCACTCTTTGGCTCTTTGGGAGCTCTGCAGTCCGCGTGGCTTCAGACGTAGCGCCGACTGCACTCCACCTCACTCATCCACCTCGCTTGCCTTGTGCTTCGGACATCTTTGGATTGGGTTTCGTGAAGCTTCGACCCGAAAAGGCCCAGCACCTCCAAACCGCGACTGCCCTGCGTGCAAAGACATCCCAGGAGAGGGAACAGAGGCGTTTACATAGCCTCCACAGTGAATCCCAGAAGTCAGCATCAGCGGCGAAGGACGGCTATGGGCTGAGAGGAAGGGTTTGGAACTTTTTTTGCTGCGAGAAGGGCTTACACGAGAGTCTGCGCCAGGCTGTGGGCTTGCTTTCGGTTTTGGACCGACTTGACATGAACTTTTCGTTCTCCCGTTTACTCTACGCAGGTAGGAGGTCCGAGGCTGATGTTTTTTCAAACGGCCTTTCATTCCCTGTGCAGATGTGGGGATGAGCCAACGAACGGACCACTTACAGGCTTGCAGGCCCAAGAAGTCGACGTGGCATCGGGCAACCAAAAAGGGAACATCAGTTTCTAGCAGCAACGCAGAAGCGCATAGAGGCAGCTAAAGGGTTGGCGATGGTGGCTGCAAGCTCTGCAAGACACAGATGACCCCAAATTCCTCTTCTGCCGCGCAATGGCAAGAGGAGCGAAGGGAAACAGCCGATTGCGAACCTTCATAAACCCTTGAAGACTTTGAAGGAGCCGGCTGCATCGCCAAAGGCTAGTGCTGCTGCCACCGCACCATCCACGCCGGGCCATTGGGCAGCAAGTGAGGTGACGGAGAGGTGGAGTGCATGTCCATTTTTTTCGGTTTGCTTCACGCTTCACACGTTCCCTCTCCCCCAAAGTGTTGACCGTCTTAGTTGCGCAAGCCAAGGGGGCAAAGGCAATGCCGTTCCAGGCTCTGTCTGGGCCTCAACCAATTATTCGGCCTGTGCTGCTTGGTTCGAGGGGTTCGTTACGAACATGCCCGCACATTCCATTATGTACCCCCCCCCCCTAACCTCTATCCTCGAACCTCTGTCGGATACATGCTGGTTAGAGGATAGAGGTTGCCAGGGTCCACCCGTCAGGTACTATCTATCTATCTATGTATCCCCCCCCCCCCGGCTTAAATTTTTACGGGAGCCTGTCTATCTATCTATCTATCTGACCCCCCCCCCCGCCACTTGGCTTAAAATTTTACGGGAGCCGTCTATCTATCTATCTAACCCCCCCCCCTCTTGGCTTTTAATTTTACGGGAGCCCTATCTATCTATCTACCTAACCCCCCCCCCCCCCCCCCCCCCCCCTGCGGGTCCCCCAATCTCCCAGCCGCCCGTCTATCTAGATAGATAGATAGACGGGTAAAATAATATGGGGGGGGGTTCGATGGGGGGTTAGATAGATAGATAGACAGGCGGCTGGGAGTTTGGGGGGAGGACTGGGCGCGGGGGTTAGATGGATAGATAGAGGGGGGGGGGGGGGTGGGGGGGGGACAAACAAGGGGGGGGGGGGGGGCGGGGGGTAGATAGACAGATATATAAGGTGGTCTGACGGAGGGGCGGCCGGCCGCTAGGCGATTGGGGGGCGGGGGGGGGGCGGGGTTAGATAGATAGACAGACAGGCGGCTGAGAAAATTGGGGGACCCACATAGATATAAGACGGGCTCGGGGGGGGGGTTAGATAGAGTGGGGGGGGGTTAGAGATAGACCGATAGATAGACGGGCGGCTGGGAGACCCGCAGGGGGGGGGGGGGGGTTAGATAGACAGATAGACGGGCTCCCGTAAAATTAGTAGATAGATAGATAAATTGACGGAGAGAAGGGCGGGGGGAAGGAGGGGGGGGGGTTAGATAGATGGATAGAAAGCCGGGGGGGTCCGTCGACCGCCTAGTCTATCTATCTATCTACCCTCTATCTATCTATCTATCTATCTGTCTAACCCCCCTCCCTCCCAAACCCATCCTCCTATCCCTCTAACCTCTATCCCCCCCATTCCCCTAGGAGATAGAGGTTAGCCGGCGTACGTCCTGGCACATTCGTATATGCACACCTGGGACTCTAAGCTAAGATGTTCGAGTTCGGGCTAGTTGCAGACGTGGAAGCCCACAAGTATCCACCACCTTTCTTGCCAGTGGTTGGCATGGATTGGCCATCGTACTCAACATCCAGCATCCCGACCGTCATTCAAACTCAGAGCAATGTGAGGGACGACATTTGGAGCTAAACGGCTCGCCGCAAGTTGCCTTGAGCTCCTACATTCCACCCATCTCCACACCAAAAACGGCCCACTGATGGAGAAAGGCTCCAAAGCCCAAGACCACACCCAGGCCCCACCCAAGGCTGCAGCTGCGCATGGGCCCCAGTTTTGTCGTTCTGCCCTTGCTGGGGTTTAACTGTCATTGCGTGTTTGCGCATTGCCCACACCCTGCAATGCCCAAATGCTCTTGAGACTCTTAAGCTGAAGCCCGCATGAAGTGATCTGCAGGTGCTCTTCGGCTAAGTGGATCTGAGTCAGGTTTTCGATCTTTACACGCTTCTGCATCTTGCACTCTCTACGGCTCGGATGTGCTATAGACCGCTACCGCTATCCTTGCAGGTATCCTTGCAGGGGCACCCTATAATTGAACGCCAGCTCATGTGGGTAGGACCTGATTTCACGGCTGCTGAGGGCCCCAGGCGTAGCCACAGCCAGACCGCCTCCGGCAGCGTTGCCGCTTCAGAGGTGGGGATTGGTTCAATGCATGGTCTTCCAGTATCTGAACTTGGAGTACTCAGAATGAAAATTGTTGGAGCTGCAATTGGACGTGTTCAATCTCAGTTCCGGATTCAAGAAGCATGAGGTCCTGCTTCAGCCAGTCAGCTAGTCTTCCGAATCAGGGCAGAGCATCGAATCCAATTGAAGCCCCTGGCTGCGCGGCTGCCAGACTATTCTTAGTCTGCCAGATGCGACTAACCTTTTAACACGCAAATCTTGAATCCAGACACAGCAGTCGCAGCTACCCCTTGAGCATCCTTGAGCCGGAGGACGAGAACTTCATCATCCATCGGTAGCGAGAGAGGAGGTTACGGAGGCACCGCGTGTGTTTTGCGCGTTCCCGTAAAGTTGCTCCCGCCGCGTAGCCTTCTAAAGCGTTCAAGTTAAAGCCAGCAAGCACCACCTGCCCAATTCCAGAGCCGTAGCTGCTTAGTAGCTGTTGTGCTGGGATCTCATGCTGTTCTTGGTGTTTCTCTTGTGAAACGTCAGTGTAGTAGTGGCGTGTGTGTTTGGTTGTAGGACCGACTCTGCACGCTAATCCCCACGAAGATTTGGGAACAGCAGGGGGACACCAGGTTCAGATGTTGAAATCCCGAGAGCATAAGCTTTCGCTCAAAGGCAGTGTCCCGCATGTATCCAAAGAATGTGCGAAACCCAACAACAACTTCCAAAAGAAACATAACCTGTATGCCGACACGAGCCACGTTCCATGGTTTGCGCCCTGGATTCAAACAGCTCCTCAGCTGCCTCTTACTTTGCTTCCTGAGGTACGACTCCCGCCGACATGGGCAGAATCTCTCAGCTCAAGGCTGGATTGAGAAGGTCTTGGCATGTGTTGAAAGCGTCGGGTTTACAGGCATCCTGGCATCAACGGGCCAACGCTGACAGGAAATGGGCTTCTCCGACGAAGTGTCGCGGAGGGTGCTTGCCGAATGTGCTTGGGACGTGAACAAGGCACTTTCGTCCGGTGCGTACGGTGGGGCAATGTGGGCCTTGGGCCACTTCAGTGGTTGAGTGTTTCGGCGAGTCTTTTGAGGGAGTGTTTTTGGGAAGTTCAGGTAGACGTATGAGCACGAGGCGCCACGACATTTGCTGAACAAAGCCTTAGAACTCAGAACTTACAAAAACCGACATGAATGGCAGCTCGCAGTACTTCTCTTTGCTTCCTGTATCTGCTGAGCTTTTCTTGCTTGGTTTTGCGGAAGCAGCTCCGGCTGGAGTTCACAAACCGCATGTCCGATCGCCATCTTCCTAGGTCGATGGCCGGCTTATACATTGCAACTGGTAAAAAACCCTTGGGATAGAGAGATCAAAGGCAGCAATAGCAAAGAAACAAAGGTGAAAGAAATTGCGAATGACCTTCGCGGGATGGTAAGTCAAGCTGAAGCACGAATGCATCTGTATTCTAATTGCAGTCGTTACTGCTAGTTTGCACGCTTGGCTGCCTGGATTTCACAAGAAAGTAATGTGAGGTGAACCTTCGAAGGGACAGAGAACAAAAGAGAAACTCATAAATCTCAAAGCAACTGCCCTCTCGGAAAAGTTGTGTGTCGTAAGCCCAACATGCTCCCTAAAGGACTGCGTTGAAGGCACACGCAACCCGCATGCATTGCAGCATGATTCGGTGCACGTGTGCCCACAATCCTCATTCGCTTTAACCTCGGGAGCCTACGCTCGTCGCGTTTTGGAGATCATGCTTGGTGCTCTTGCCCTTCATCAGTGTCAACGTACGTTTTCTGCAGTGAAGAGCGGCCGTGATGTGCTTGTTGACTTTCTTCTGAGAGCGTATAGAAAAGGTTCGGGCCTTGGTAGGGGAGGGGAATGGAGTGTGATGGACCAAGCCAAAAGATGCGCAGGGTAGACTCGGGTAGACTTTCAAAAGGCTGATCTTGAGGTCCTCGATTTTCTGCATACGAAGCCTTCAGCCGCATTGCCGCAGGCGATCGACCGCCTATTGCTGTCAGGCGTCCCAGATGACATGCCACAGCAAGGAGAGCAGCTGCAGGGCTTCAGACTGCGACTTTCGGGCTGAGCACGAAGTTTGGTCGACAAGAACTAGTGGAGTTAAGCATCTCGCTCACAGAGCAGGGACCGGTTTCACAGAGTCTGGCCGTCCTCAGTTCCCCACCCTCGCGACAGGAGACTCAGAGAAGTCAGGCACACCCGGTGGTTTTGAGCTGCACTGAATCCCCGAACCGGCTGTCTATAACAGCTAACCTATTCAGAAGCACCTCGACGTACAGCAGCTGCCCCACAATGCCTGCACAGCTTGCTGCAGCTACTTCCCTTGTTGATGTATGGCATTGACAGCGAAGCATTTAGAGGAGAGAGATGCAGATTCTACTGCGCAGTCAGCTCACCTGAAGCAAAGGCATCACCCAAATCCTCATTGATTCTAATGTTTGCTCGTACGACATGGCCTGCATTTGACACGCAAAGCAATCCCCAACCCAGACTGTCTCCCGGCAGATCCCTCTCCAACCTGACCCTTGCAAGGCATGACCGTAGTAGGGAACATCTGCGAAACGCGGGGTAGTTGTCTGTGTTCATGCTCCAACCTCAAAAGTCGAATCCAAACAGGAACTGTAAAGCCCCCGAAGCCCCAAGAGCCTGACCCTGCTTGTCAGACGCAAGCCCCTGAACATGCTTGAAGCCCTGCTGATTCTCCAGGGCTCTAATGCCAGGCACCGGTGACCCTGCAGGGGTCGCCGAGCCCGGCGACCCCGATGCCTCGGCAGAAGCGCAAAGCAGCGACGACCTAGGCCTCTTGTGGAAACTTCGCGGTCTTCCTTTTGCTGATGGTTAGGTAAAGCAGTGTGTTGCTGCAGCGTTCCTTGGGCCTGGTTAGGGCATGTCAGGTTGATTTGTGACGCGGGGGTGCGGGTTCCAGAAGGCTTTCTAAGATATTAGTTCTTGAGGTTGCTTGAGGTTGCCACACAGTGCAGTGTTAAAGCAGAGGTCGAGCAAGGCCTGCTGTTTATTGAAGCTTCCCCATGCTTTGAGCCTTCAGCTGAAACGGTTTCGGCCTGAGAGGTCCAGGCTCAGGACGTATGCCAGACTGTTCACTTTTCTGTAGCGCATTTGAAACATATCGGAGTACTCAGAGAACACCCGGCGAAGCCCTTGCATGTTGCGTCAGGCAACGTCAACGGCAAGAGTAGCTTCTTCCCAGCAGTGCCCTTGGCCCGTGCCAGTTTGTGCTTGGGGAGGGAGGAGGGGGTGCACGAAGATCGGATGTGGTCAGTCAAGGAACGCCAATAAAGTCAGGCATGTAGAGTTGCTTAGCGAAAGCGACAACAGTCAAGCATAGCATCACATAACACTCTACGCACCGACCTCGCCTTGCTTTCCGCACTCCAACCAGGCATACGTTGAGCATTCACCTGTCTCGTGTTTCTTTTGGCTTTACACATTGTCCAGGTCGAGGAAGATCCTCCGAGCACGGTCGAAGCCGACAAGGCTCACATTTTAATCAGAGAAGCGCACAACACTTCAAAAAACAAAGCTGCCGCACGCTCTGCTTCACCCCCCAGAAGCCGTTTTGCAGGCTTCCGAAAGGAAACAGAAAGCATGCAACGAAACCGTTGTGCATCTTTCAGGCAGCGTCGACAGTGGCAACGTCAAAGAACGGAGGCCCTCAGCATACCGGTCTTTCGCTGGGAGGGGGGGGCTGGGTTGAGGGGAAGAGTCAAGGTTTGTGCACTTCGTGTTTGGGGCTGTCGGGGTGTATGTAGAGTCTTGCGGTTTAGAGTGGAGAGAGTGCGGGCTCCTGGGTTTAGGAGTCTAGACCGTTACGGTGCGGGTGTTTCGGGCAAGCGGTTCAGGGTGTACATCTTGCTGATACTTGCCCTAAACCCACAACCTCTATAAACCCGAACCCTTTCTCTAGACTGCATAGCAGACTTTGGGGTCATGGGGCTTTTGCAACACCTGCACGTTGCCTTCGTTCCGCATGAGTTTAAGCCATGCTCGAGTGCCGTGGAAGTACCGTGAGAGGCCCTCTGGAGGCCCTGATTTGGTGACAATGCTGTCCCCAACATCCAGCCCCTGCAACATCTATAGAATCCGCAAGTTGTTCCTGGCCCAGAAGCCGAGAAGTCAAGCAGACTTAAGCAGGCCCAGCAGGCCCAGCGTTCTTGCTGACATCCTGTATGTATAAATATACGCAAGACCATTTGAAATCCGATGCCCTTCCGTGATATGACTCTGGCATTTTGCAACCCGCAGCCGTGTAGTTCTTGCTGTGGCATCCGTGCACTTGAGAGCTCTTTTGTTGAGGTGTTGCGGCTGAGAAAGAGCCGGCAGCTGCGGCAGCGACCAGTGAGGTGACGTTCGTGACGATGAGGATGTGCAGTTAAAATCAATTTTTCTGAAGTGGAGTTCAAGGTGCGGAGGTCCTGAAGGCTTTGGTTGGGTCTTGGGACACAAGGGCCTCGAAGCTTGAACTCGGAAGATCCCAACATTGTCTAAAGACTTGAATATCCTTATGCAAAAAGGCAATAACCACAAGGCTTGGAACGGCCTTTTGTGCTATTTGCCTACCACCTGGGCATGCGGGCGCACTCTCAACCGCGATTCGAATCGCGGCATTTCTACACTGAAGGACTCCCAGCGTGGAAAACTGTTCTGGTCCTTTCGAGCGATTTGAGTGATCTGCATGCTTCCAGTAGATCTCGAAGGTGGCTTCTAGCGGCACCCCATTGGCAGCGGCTACGGAACCCGCAGCGCAGCCGGGAGCCCCAAGAGTCCTGTGGGGCAAACTTGCACACGGCATATCGATAATATCTGGGATGCCCCATGATGCTCCACTGCATGTATGTGTGATGAAGGGCTGAGCAGCTGTTTGAGCAACACGACTGGGGAGATGTTGCCCTTTCAGTTGTGGTAGCTTCCCTGGTGCTTCGTCTTGGGCTGACTGCGTCAGTACGTGTTGCTAGTTTGTCAGTGCCTGGGTTTTGCTGTCAGTGTGGGTTTAGCAGTTGATTTGAGTATTTCTTTCGGAAGATAAGAGGTTTACCAGTCATGCCTTTTTGCATCTCTGCAGTGCGGTGTGAGGCTGCTGGTCTGGTTTTAGCCGCAACATGCATAGCCTTCATGACAAGATTCAACCCGTAGCCCTGAAACTCGGCGTTGCTCGGCATTCCCAGGCCAGCAACGGCACCCGCAGCCCCGACGAAGCGACTCGAGCGAGCGAAACAAGCTTGGACCGGCACTGCTTGGAAAGTTGAGAAAGTTTAGGGCCAAGTTTAGGGCGCTTTCATGAAATATTTGGGCTTCAGGGATCACAGGGGCTGAGCGTTAGTTTGAAGGACCCGGGGTTTGAGGGGTCGCGTGGGTCTAGTCATTTTAGCCGTCCGCAGCTGTCGGAATATTGGGAAAATGTGGCGCAGGACGGCTAGTGATGCGAGCCAGCTCAGCGTTTCTGACCAAGAGTTTGTTTACGTGGGGCACTCAGACATCGGGACAGCTTTGGCAGGGCAGGCTTCAGGCCTTAGGTTCTACCAGTAACCAATCTGGGGTAGCACGGCTCGGCACACAAGTCACTGAATGGCCTTAAGCCTCATAGGTTTGACAATGCCAACCGCCAATCGCGCAAGATCCTTGCATGGCCACCTGGCGACCCTGAACCCTCTCTCCATCCGTGCAAACAAGCCTGCAGGTTTGGACAACGACAGCGACCGACAATGGGTGGATTCACGCAGAACTAGCCAAGGACCAGGCCACTACGACTGAGGTTCCTGAAGGGCAGTCGGACTGCAGAGGTCTGCGACAAACGCCGCGTCACGGGGGCAAGCATAGCAGCGTAGTACAGTCCCTGCTGTTTCAAAAATCCTATAGACAACACCCTGCAGTTCTGAAAAGAGCAGGCAAAAGTGGGCTGGCTTCCAAGATGCATCCTCGTGGAGCTCCAGGATGGCCAGCGATGGATGCACCCCGCCATTTTTTGAGAAGACTTTTTGTTCCACCCGTTTTCCCATTTGACTGGATCGTGCTGATCGTTCGCGGGCCGAGTGACCGCCGTGAGTGGACAAGTTTCCAGTTTTGGTGTTAGAGCGAGTTTCCGGGATCGCCTCATGTGCTCACCCGGCCCATCCAGTGGACCTGCTTGGCTCAGGAAAACCAAAACCAAGTGGGAGGCCCGCGAGACTGGATCAAGCGCTGTCAGAGCTCAGAGCAGACTGAAAGAGGAACTTCGATGAGATCCATTCAGATTTTATGTTCCTTGCCGTGTGCCAGGCGCGAGACGAGTCACAGTGCAGCGTGGAGATTGGCGAGTTCTGCCTCGTGTGGGTTAGTTCACTCACCACGGAGGGCGCGGGCGCCTAGAGAGTTCATGAGAGAGTTCTATGGAGTCAGTACATACCAAAGTCGTGCATCCCTATAGAGAAAAGAAGAACGAGCGCACCGAGCCCCAGTACCCTTGAGTATCAACCTGCGAGCTTGACACCCTCAGGCTTACTCAGACTTGGGCTCATGAGTAGGAATCCCAAATCCGGATGGTTGTGCTGGAATCGAAACTCGAGACTTGCACCCGAACCCCACACGCGCATCTCGCTGCCCGAGGCTGGACTTACGTAGACTGCCAGGACACCGACGTCACATGTTGTTTTGCTTTGCCTTGCACGCGACTTCTGGATTTGATGCAGAGGTGTTGGGAACCAGCGCCTTGAACTCCGACAGGATCGCTCCAGCAAGGGATGGCTACCCGATTTCTGCTTGGCAACTTTGCTGAACTTGGGAGGGTCTTGCGGCTGGCCATGTCATCGAGCTGTGAGTTCAAGGTCGGGGTTCCATCAGAGTTGTGGAGGGGCACCAAGCAGATGACATCCCGAAACGCTAAGGTGTGGTCCGATCCGTAGTCCATTCTTTCCGCGAGCCCCTTGGGCAGCATGACTGGGCAGATGTTGGGGTGGGGGAGGGCCGGGAGGGGTGCCAGGAGTTGCTCGCCATATTGCTTTCCGGCCTCTGACACTCAGCCTTGCGCAAAGAGCATGCCCTGCAGCTAATGATGCAAGCACCCCCCCAGTGCTTGCTGTCCTCTCCTAGTTCTTTCTAGTCGGATATGTAGAAGATGAGGATGAGGAGATGCGAGGTGTCAGAATTACTGCAAGACTAATTCAAGTTGGCATGGAAGGCGACAGGCGAGGCACGCACCAAATATGCAGCGCAAGGTGTCTTTGGCCGCGGCTGAAGGCCTGTTCCGACATAGATGCCACGTGTGGCTACCACCCCGGAAGAGGTGGGGGCGGTGATCCATCTCGGCACAGTCACTCAACATGGCCCCGTCTTGGGCCAGACAGTACATCGATCGGCCTTCTACGCCTACGGCATGATAGGCTTGAAAAAGGCACAGGAGGCGCACTGCGCTCCCAGTTGTGATGGCTCACCGGCCCCATCTCCGTTTATCACCTGCAGCGCTGTATACTAGCCAGTGACAGACTCCTTCAATACGCCAACACCCTCCTAACAACTAAGCGAACGTTGAAGCATGGCATGGATCGCGTCCCCGCTCTGTCGATGGGACATAGCTCACCTCAAGTCCAAAATGCTCATTGACCCAAATCCTTCACACTAATCCCAAGAATCACACTCAATTCTGATCTAGGAATCATCACGCAGCGTACATGGAAGCCTGCCCTTGCAACACCATTCCATATCGAACCCGAACACAGCAACTACATGGTTAACTACATGCTGCCCTTAGATTGGCGCTACGGAGTGCCACTCGCTCCGCTTGGATCCAGTAGAAGAATCTGGGGGCTTCAGATTTTTGAGGATCTTGTTGTTGACGATGTAAGAGTAACCCTGGGTCCTACATGTGGGCTGGAGTGGCTGGAATGGGGTGGGCCATGGTCTTGTATCAATCGGTTCACGGGAGGTAGCTGAAGTCCAGTTCTTTTGCAACACCGCGCTGCTTCCCATGCTCGTATGGAAGCCCCCCAGACTCCCAAGTGAAGCTGAGCTCGTGCGTCGTTGTCAAGCTTGGGATGCAAAATCCCTTCGTGTTGAGCCCATCCGTCACCAATGTCGCGACCTCGGAGAAAATGACTCACGGCTGGCGCATTTATCACAAGGCCTTTTGGGGCCTCCTGGCAGAGAGCCACAAACACCTTCCAAGCTGAATGCTAGTTGCCCTCTGAGAGCTTGAGCCAATGATTTGTGGCACGGGTTTGAGAACGCAGGGGTTCTGATAAGGTGTGCACACATACTTGTAGCTACCTCGGAGCCGCTTTGTTGGCCCTTCGTGTTGGCCCTGCTGAGTCTCAAAAACACGACCGGCGCTTCACAAAGCCATTCGAAGCGATAGGACAGCGTGCCTAAGGTTTGAGTCAAAAACTTGCAGGGCTGAATCTGTTCAGCTGATGTTTATCTGTACTGTAAGGCGAACATATCAATGATCCAAGCTTCATACTTTGTTTTGGAACTAGTTTCTTTCCCTCTAGAGAGAGGAACACAAGAATCTTGCCCATTGACCTTTGATCTTCGAAGAGTGCACCCATCGATCCGTTGGAGCTGGGCTCAGCGTCATGTGGATGTGTGCCAATGTCCAGGTGTCCAGGTCAAGTCATCACTCGCAGCGCTTCCTGCTACGGAGCCAATCTCCAACAAGAGCTTTAGGAGGTTCCAGGTGATCGTGTAGGACCTTGCTCGGGCATTTGGCCCTGTTGCAAGCGCAGCTGTCATGGAGGACGGTGCAACTTCCGCCACTCGGATGGGCTTGTTAAATTGCGGAGCTGCAAAAAGTTCTCTGTTGTTGCTCTGGAAGTACAGGGTTTGGGGCTTCGGCAGTTTTTTCAAGAGTCGCTGTTGCAACAGTAGGTCAAGCGTTCAAGTAAGGAAGCGAAGACCTCGACGGGTGCTCCTGCAGCTGCCAGCACAGGCAAGAGAGCAGGGCAGCTTGGCCGATCTTTCGTTTCACCATCCCTGAAACGTGTAAACTTCGTGTGCGCTCCTGCCAATACCAGCACCAACGGACACAAACGGGCACAAATGCCTTCAAGCGGCCAGCACTTCCACACAGAATCGAACTTGGACACTCAGATCCCCGTTGCCCGACTGCATGTTGCAAGCCAAGGTACAAGAAGCAGGCGGCCACGCCCCCGACGCCTTGCTGGCATCGACATGCTTTGTCTAACGTTAGAGCCTGGCGCGTTTTTCTTGGCAGCATGCTCTGCATGCAAGGGTGAGTCCAACGACAGAGCAGGGGCGTTGTGCTTCTTTCGCCCGCAAATGCCACCCAGGAAATGGAGCATGGCCGAAAAGCCGAAGATGACACTTGCATGCAAAGGGGGTTCAGAGGGGGACCTGGGCAGCGGCAGCGACATCATAACACTATGGTAACTCACACCCTGCTGGCCAGCAACTCACTCCGCACAACTGGAGGAATAGTTTGATTTTCTCGAGGATCATTGGAGGCCCTGTGCCATCGTGGCAGGCAAGCATCCCAGGCAACTCGGATGACGTTACTCTGGGGTTTGCATGGGTAGTTGGTCCAGATTCATCGCTTGCTGGGTTTGTGGTCGTTGCACTGTCGCTGCAGCACACCGCATGACACAGAGCCGAGGGAACCTGTAGAGCCGCACGAACACATGAACATGAAGTCCAGGCCCTCAATACAACTACGACACCAACAGCTTCAAGAAGCTTGGCTGCTTTCGGGACGTAGGGGTCCAGCGTGGTCCGACCATTTCTCAGGCCTGGGCTTGTAGTCAACATCGCTAGTTTAAGGACTGGTTTTGCTTATGTCAACTTTTGTCAGAGATGTTAGGGCTCCTGCTCTTCCGGGACGAACAGGTAAGGGGCTCCGAGAGGGGTGAGCGTGTTCAGCTCTTTCGATTCGGCGCGTTTCGTGTAGCACTGTGGTGTTCAGGGGGTTTAGGTGCTCCTTGGCTTGGGAAAGTGCATCCGATAGGGAAGCTGAGCTTCTTTCGAATGGGGGGAGGGGGTTGAAATATCGTAAGGATGGAGTTCAGTTAGAGGTTAGGGTCTCAGTGTACTGGGCTTCGCGGGCACGGAAACTGTGAGAGATGAAAGGCTTTTTGGGGGGCACACCAAAGACGCAAAATCACAGCAGAAGCCCCATCAATCGAATCAAGCTGCCAGCCCAGGAAGAAGCAGCCAGTGTACTCCATGCGCCCGAAGCCGGAGATGGTCATAGGCGGAAATCTTATTGGAGTGGAAGTTCATCTGAAGGATCCTTTCACACCCCAATGCGATTCTCGAACGTTCCACGGTCCACGGCCCCCAGTTCCAACAGCAAAGCTTTGGCAAGGAGCCGCAGAGCATGGTGTGGTGGGCATGTGTGTGTGTGGGTGTGGGAGGGGGAAGCTGGACATGAAGTACTCCCATCTTCTCCGAGGTGGCGGCGTGCCTTCTTGGACAAAGTCCATCCCGGGTCCCATTTACAGCTACGACACGAACTGCCTCTTGTTTTGGAAGGATTTGGAGGTCTTTGTAGTTTGGGCAGTTGGAGGCAAAATGGTCTGGCCATGAGGCTGCCAATCGGTAGATGTACTGTCGCATGAGGGTATTGAGGCCATTGACTCCATTGTCCTTTTGCAGGTCTCCAGATTGTTGCTGTGACTTTGCATGCGTTGCCGAAGGCTGTAGATCGCAAAGCTGCTTTTGCTTGCAAACGATTCAACTGGAATCCTTGGAAAGAGTGAAGATTCAGCCTTAATTCTTTCGTCCGGTGCTTAGCCAAGCCAAGGTTTCAAGGAGAAGCAGCCTGTGTTCAGCATCCGCGGCAGGGGTGATGATGATTTCGGCATCTTGGTTGCTTCAGAGAAGGGGGTGCGGCGAAGTTGATGTGAGAGCTGAAGTGTTAGAGCCGAGGTGGCGTAATTGTGCCCCAGCCCGATGCCCGGACTACATTACCACCTGCTCCCACCTACTCCCACATCCAGGCAACAAGAACGCCAAGGATGCCCCGCAAATATCGACTGAGCAGCTGATGAAGGCCCCCCTGATCGGTCAGGTGGCCAGCAAATACTTGGTGTATGGAAATGCATGGAAATCCTTGGTTTTGCGCCTTCCGGTTTTGTGCAACTGGAAGAACCATTTGTTTGGGGATGCGCCAAATAGAACCACGCTTTGGGGCTTTGCGTTGTAGCTTGTGTGATCTGATGCCGATGAGAAGCTGATAAGAACATGTTAAGAACCCTGGGCGCTTTTTGCAGGGCATCGACGCCAGCCGAAAAAAGCCGCCGTCATGGTTACTCGTCGGCAGTCCAGCGCAGAGTTGTTGTTGTTTCGGGATGGTTCATCCGCGGACGGCACAAGGAGTGCCAGCCACACGTCGCCTTAACGAGCTGATGAGCACAGACTCACAGTTAGACCGACAGATCGAATTTGGATGTGAACATGAGCCTGTGACAAATCACTTGCGGAACGGAAGCTGCGCAGCAGCCCTTTAGCTGAGCTTGCGACAGTTCATTGCCAGAGTTTTTGGGACCAGCACAGGGAAGAGAGGGGCCTCAGACTGCAGCTTAGTTACGCTTAGTTAATTCCCGAAAATCTACCCTTCAAAGTTTGTAGTTGTAAGCAACTTCCCTCATGTCGTATCAACTGACAAAACAATTTGTTGCACTTACCCAGAGTTCTCGGCTTCTGCAAACGTCCGTGACAACAACAGTTTTTAATTTCCGAAGGGCGTAACATCACAACTTTGAACGACGAGTTGCAGAAACCCAGAAACCTGCTCAGACTTTGTGTTGACCCTTACAAGGAAAGATTTCTGCAAGTCGTGCCCGTGAAGCCGCACACTGGTTTGCCACGTTACTCCCGCACATACCCGAAATAACACAATTTGTTGCGGTTCAAGTGGGTTCCTGGATGATGGTACGTGATTTTCGGGTGTGGGTGGCCAGCTCGAACCGCCTCCAGCCAGTCACGGATATAACGTTTGACAATGGAAAAGGCATGATTTATGCATGACATAATTGCTTCCGTTTTTCTGCCATGCGCAGGGAGGGAAGAGCCCAATGATGGCTTGGGCATGACATAGGCTTTTGCAACACGCGTGCTATCAAAGCTGCGGCATGTTTCCTTATTCGTTTGAAAAACTTCGCAAGTTGGTTAAGAATTGCGGACAAGCACGCCTAAAAGTTGTGCCCGTGCAGTTGGAAAAGGAAGAAACAAACCGACTAACACAACCAGTTTCCGCGTGCGCCTGTGCTTCATGTGCCGGGGAAGTGCGAGGACAGCAGAACAACGTGACAACAATTCGCGTTTGAAACTCGCCCGAACCATGTGTGGCCTCCAACAACACCGGCCTTGAAAGTGTCCAGGTCGCTGAAGTCTCGCCCCGCCATGGTTCCTGGGGATGCAGTGCCCTCCTGGGTAGCTTCTATCCCAGGCTCGGCATGTCGCATGCTGACCTTCTACTTGCTGGCAAGTTGGCCGCGCATTCGACACTGGCAGGCCCAAAATATCACTACCCAGTGGACTGTCACAAAAAGAAGCAGCCAGCTGGAGCCTTTGAGTGGACCCTGCGTTCAGATCTTTGCCTCTGTGAGGCCCATGTGAGTGTCCCCCAGTGACGCTCAACCCAAACCAAGGTCTATTCCATTGGCAAGAAGCTGCCCTCCGAGTTGCTCGTCTCAAGGTTTTGGCTTTTGAGGCTTCGAGATTCGTTGGATGCTCGAGACGACCCAATCCAAACTTGCATATCTCGTCGATGCGCATGTAATTCATCCGCCGAAGACAGCGACCTCACTCTGTGACAGCGAAAACCCACCCGATGTCATGGCAGCTGCAGTACTATAGGTCCGACCTGATGAAAGTCCGCAGTCCCGGACCCATGCGAGCCTTGGGTGGTACTTCGGGCTGTGTGTTCAGCGAGGGCTGGTGCAGCATTTAGACCTGGCGGCTCGTGTCTCAAAGGATGGGGCAGCGAAGATGCAAGAGGAAACATTGGGAGCAACGAACCATCGCAGCCCAGGATATGATGGCCCAGCCATGGAGTCGAAGAAGCAAGAGATGGTTGACAGCACCAGGCCCCCCAGTTGGGAAACGTCCTTAAAAGATCTGGGATCTAATATTCCCGTCCCTTCAATGTGGCCACGCGAAGCTGCGTGCGGGCGACAGAACTGTTTTTGGTGGCTATATCATTGCTGTGTCGTAAGAGGATTGGAACCTGAAATGCCAGCGGCCGACTTCTCCTTGATGAAGCGAGGTGTGGAGAAAACCGACGCGGATTGAAAACGCTGATGTTCAACGCACTTTGTGACTTTTTAAGCCGCGAGAGCTTCACTTCGCAACTTTTGGTGTGTCAGCTTTTTCCTTTTCCAGATCCGTACAGTGTCAGAGTTGAAGTGCAAATCTCGCGTGTTTAACTTTTCCGGCTATGCGGTGTGGTTGGCTTGTTAGAAGACTGTTTTTTTGGGGGGTGTAAGACTGAAAACTGGACATGCACACCGGTACTTTGGAAGCCTGGTGCCAAGGCGAAGACAGTGTTGCAGTCTCCCTCCGCCTCCTCCCTAAAAGAGAAAGGTAGCTGAGACTTTTGGGGGAGGTCATATGCAACAAAACGAGTCAAACGTATATGCTGGAGATAATTGGAGTTTGGTGTTTTTGGCCCTGGCGTATGGACGCATGAGACTCATAATGTGTATGGCAGCTCCAAGACCAGGGTTGACATGAGTTAAATTGAAGTTGCCCGCTTCTCAACAGGAACAAGAGCTTCTCCTGCTCTTTCGGCGTCGGCCCCCGCTGGCCGCGCACATAGTCTTGGAGGGAGGTTCCACAATCCAGCCTTGTTGTGGGTGAAGTCATTCAGCTCTAATCGGGTAGGCGGAACCAAACCGGAATACCCATGTCCACCGTGTCTCCATGTACCAGCAGTATCAAGGAACTTCCTTGAAAACTGAGAGAAGGTTCTGGACTGAGATATTCGATCTAGCACCAGGTCCGGCCCCACATCTGAAATGGTAATGACGGGCGCGCTTGCACGCTACGACCGGCCTGTATTCTGAGTCTGGAGCGGGTAATATTCGGTGGGAGGTCTTAGCTTTGTGGCGTATCTTGGTGAGCCGCTTTTATTGAGGAGTTCCATTAGAGGCTGTCGTTCCAGAGGGGCTTCCTTGACAAGTCAGGCTCTCAGATGCAGTTAGACTCTGCTGCCAAGCAGCGGAGTTTTTGCCAAGAGAGCGCCCCGTGGGAACTTGGGGAGGGCAGAAGGTCCCAGGGAAACGTGCTGCCAAGAGTGATCAACATGCGCCCCCCGAACTCCTCTTCACATGAAGCTTAGCAAGTTCAGCAGTTTAACCATTCTTTCAATGCTGAATCAAGGATGGCTTTCAATTTTTTCCGTATCAGAGAGCAACCAGTGATGCCCTCCTGGTGGCTACCGGTGGCTGTATGTCATATCGCACCCCAGGCAGCGCTGCAAGAACTTCGAGATGCAACTAAAACAATGATTTATTTAGGTTTTTCTGCGCATCTCACAGCTGTTATGTTGCAGATACTTGCAAGCTTTGATCTGGAGAGCGAGTGGAGAATGAGTTTGGGAGCAAGCTCCTTTTGTGCCCGGTTGTGTCCCAGCATTCCACTGGGGTGTGGCTGTCGGGTGGCGGGGGCGTTGTAAACCAGGTTGCAGATTTTGAAGTGGCTACGATGCTTGTGTTGAGAGCATAGGCTCTGAACTCTTTCTCCTTCCAGTTTCCGCACTAGCCGCTTAGCCCATGCAAGATCGACAGCCGCAGCCCAAGAGGCTTCTCCAAGGTTTTAAGCATTTCATGGTGCTGGTGGCGGGGCCGGGATGCTTGTGATTGAGTGTTTGTGCGGATGACTTGCTGTACTGACACAACCTCAAAGCAGCCAAGCCCCGATTAATTTTAGTTCAATCTCCCAATTGTCCTTCAGACCGTGTTGCTCAGGAAGGTTTGTTCCTTCATTATCTTTCTGTTCGCAAGGACCGACGATCGAAGCTATTGAGCCAGGCTGTAGGGCACCCTGATGGGTCCCTGCGTTGCTCAAAGTGTGGTGACTGGGCTTCTTACAGGAGGCATCGCGCCAAGCGCAGACTTCCTGTCCTGTGAAAAGAAGAGGAACAGGCATGGTTCGCTCAGATTCAAGCTTGTCATGTGCAGTGTTTATGCTTCTCGATCCTGGCTCCCCGGAAAAGTTTCAACATGTTTCAACAAGGTATCATCCCAGCAGGAAATCCTGACGTCCGCGACATCAGGGGAAGTCCATCGTGTCTTTCAGCGGCAGAGATGTCAGTTTGTCCGGCTGAACCCATGCTGCTAATTAGTCCTTTCGGTTTTAGAAGGGCAAAGGGCGGCTTGGGGCTTGGCTTGACTTTGGGCACCGTCTGCCTGGCAGTGCCTTGGCCGGGCTTGAAGGAAGGTTTGTGGGATGGAACTGTTGGGCCGTTCCATGCTTGCGGGAGTTTGGGTTTTCGTGCTCTCTGGCTTCTTGGAGTAGGCCTGAAGTTTGGCATGTTAGCGTGAAGTTGTGGAGTCTACACATGCTCTGCCACCAGCTGAGTTCTCAAGGAAAGCAGTTCACCAGCCTTAACCGACCAATGAATTTGTAATATTTCTTCGCCCTTGAAGATCCCAAGCCATCCTTTCCCGACCTGCTCACCCAGCCCCCACCGGCCTTAAGCAGCTTCCGAGGGCCCTAAACCCTGCAGCAGAAGCTTTTAAAGTTGAGTGCTGGAGCAGCATCATGCCTGGTCCTTCCAAGCCGGAATGGGCGGAAGCGGCTCTGCGCGAGGGACTTAATCTCGTGTGAAGCGTAACCGGGGGGAAAGGCCACTGGAAATGTAGCCACATGATTTTATTGAGTCAGGGTCCTACAATCTGTCAGACCAAAGCACCAAAGGCTGATAAACCATAACGCTGCGTGCGACAAGCTGGGGCATGTGGGAGCTTTGGTTGTTTTGGCATCCGTGTTCCCCAGGCGCGTCTCGGCGTACCAGGCAGGGGTTCATCTCATGTAAACACCGAGCCAGGCTTCGGCTTGTACCGGGATACGTTACACTTACGAACATGGACGCTTGATAGGCACGCTATTGTCAGTGTTCACCCGCTAAGCGTGGTTACATGGTGTCTTGATATGGTCCACCTTCTTTAAAGGGTTCTGAAGTATGGGCCCTTGGGTGTATAAGGGGTAGAAACAGGAGTCCCCATTTAAGGGCCCGTATTGAGAGACCATGTAACAATGCTTGGACACCCAGGTTTGGGGTTTGGGGCCCTTCCGCTTTCACTTCGATACAGCATCGTCACAAGCAAAACTTGGCACATTCATACATGGTACTGTGTGGTACCCAGGCTTCAGATGGCAGCCATTTACGCAGCCAGTCCTTCGGTCCGGTTCACCGCGAGAGTTTAGCCTTGCTTGTGGTTGTAGGGTCGGATGAGTTTTCCGGAGCGTTGAAACATCTGAAGCTTCTGGCTTAATTTGCCCCTTCTGCGAGAAGCGAAACTGTGCCCTGGCCAGGAGTCGACGGAGCAGCCTCCGGAAGTGACAGCCGGGGCGGGTGAGAAGCGGAAGCGGAAAGTGAAGCAGGGCACCCAGATTCCTGCACTATCTTTTGATACATGGAGGGGTCTTTTTTCAGCATGTGGCTTCGTGGTTAGGCTCTTTTGTTGATGCCAACCAATGTTGGTTCTCATTTTCCTGGCAAGTAATTACCCTGGCAAAGGCCTCGCATGCTCGGATCTTTCTTCCCTGTGGAATCCTTCGGAATCCTACAGCCTTCTGAACCTACAGGATTGGCAACAAAGCCATCCACGAAAAATTGCTGAGGATCCGTTCGCCGGATGAGGTGTCCGAGGCGGCCAGAGTAAATCACAGGTTCAAAATCAGATTTGATCCCCTGCAGCGTTTGCTGCTCATCCCTGTTGGTGGACCTAAAAATCAAGCACTATAACACTTGAACGTAGGAAAATCAGGAACATCCTCCACGCCCAACAACAAAATTTCGTGGCATGCAGGCCTCCGCGCCGTCCATGTCCGCGGTCACTGCATGGGGGCCCATTCATGGGTCTTCATGTAGCAGCGTACGTAGCATCCCTCGACCCAACGCCTCTGTGACAAGTGTAGTGGTGTCGGGGTGTGGAGTTTCGGGCGTATAGTCTCCCCACCCCACCATGGTCAAGTGGGTTGGTGTAAGGGTTCGGGCTTCTGGTTCATTGAATTGTTGATGTTTTATTGGAGCCTGTTGTTACCACAGCTTCACCGTACACGTTCTCCAACAGAGTCAATACGGGCACGTGCACAAGTAAGTGTACTACGTGATTAAATTAAGAAGGGCTGCAAGTGGGTTCATAAAGATCTCATAAGGGTTTGCACAGGGTCCAGTGAGGCGATATGGGTGGTTATAAGATGATGCAAGGGCACACACACACAGGGTATTTGTGGTGACGATCATGGTATTGGGGGAGTCGATCATTCGGTAGCTTTAGGAGCTTGCCAGGTAGCGATTCATCGAGAAATATGAAACCTCAAGACCATGCAACTGTCGTCTGAGAGCCTGACGTTTGAACCTGTTTTCTCAAATGGAAAAGGGCCCGACTTTGAAGCCAATTGCAGGTGCGTGGATTCTGCGTCCAGAATCCATATCGCAGCCAATGGATAGGTGTCTTCGTTGGCACCTGTCCCACACAGACACACCGTCCGAAGAGGGTCCACAAAAATCCGAACATGTGTGAAGGCCCTCCTCCTCCAAAATCCTTTGTTGGTGTCGTCGCCGTCGTCAGGGACCTCCAGCTGTCATGAAAGGCCCAGGAGCGTCCCGGGAAACCTCTGCCACAGCACAGACCCAGGGCATCTCATCCCGAAAGGCCACATTTGTCCACAGCGACCCAGTGCACCTCCACTTACTTCCCGAAAGCTTGAAAAGAAACGTTCGCCCAAGCACACCAGCCTACCACCGCCACAGTACCATCACCACACTAATCACTACGCTCCCACAACCACACTACCACCACCACACTTCCATCACTACACTACCACCACCGCACTACCATCACCACACTATACCAGCACCACAGTACCATCTCACGCTCTATTAAAATTCTCTCTTTTTTCTAGGCTGGGGTGGGTTTCGCCGCGGCTAGCGCGACGCACCCCTCTGTGGGGATCGTGCATGTCGGCGGGGAACGCTCCCGCTGTGCGTTTCTGCGTATTTTGAAGCGTCCCCGCACCCTCTGCGGGGATCGGGCGTGTCGGAGCGCTCCCGCTGTGCGTTT